GAACAGCTTCATATCCTTGGTCAGATCCGAGGAGCGGAGCATTGGGCCGAGAGCGTATTTAACAAAATCACTATTGAAGAGTACGGTTTTTTTAATGTTTCGATACCATTCCGCCTCGCTCGTAAAGTTGACAACCTGGAAGGAGTAATTTGCTGATCTGCCCTCTCTGGGCTCATTCGTTGGGGTCATCATCCAGTAGCGGATACCCTCTTTGTCGTACTCTTCGAAGTATCTACAAATATAATATTTGAAAACTATTAAAAGTTAGATTGTTGAAAGTGATTTAACTAACCGTTTATAGTATGTTGCGTACGCCTTGTAGTACACCCCATCCGGGGCGCCTTTTAGTGGGGAACCGCCCTGAAAAATATGGAGGAAATTCGTTTTTCATAGTTCTTTCGTTCCAAGAAAAGGCAGTATCGCGATTTTTTTTCTCCTTTCTTTTAACGACTTTCCAAAAATCCCCAAAAATCGCCCCTAGCTTACCTAGCTTGAGGCCTTAAAAAACTGTTTTGATTAAGCTTAACTTTTTACTCAAATTTGGACGTAATTTGGCAAAAATTCCTCAAAAATCTTGGCTAGATTGCCTGGCTTGCGTCTTTTTAGTGCCACTTCTGTAAACAAAATGTTTTATCGCAAACGCTGCGTGTTTTCTGAAGTTGCTCAAACGTCGCTGCTAGCTTGCATAGCTAAAGGCTTTTTAAAGGGACTACGAAATGCCAAAAATTGAGTGACGGCCCGAAAATCGGAGCCCTGTACGTCGGAGGCCTCTGTACACCCAGGGGCCCGGAAAGCTCGCAAATTTGAAATTGCCTGTTGTCACCTCGAAATCACGTTCTCGGCTGTTTCTGGGCCAAATTTGATGATTAAAACACCAAAACTATTTAAAATTGAGTGAGGATTTCAAAAATGGGCTCAGAATGCGCGAATTATAGTGTTTTCACAAAGAAATCGGGCAAAAACAACGCGCAAAAATCGGAAGAGTGAGGGCGGTTGTCCCGCAGCGCCCGCTGGCAATTTGCCAGAAATCAGAGAGCCCTCCCAAAAGGGCTTTGATTTGGCAGTACGGAGCCCCTTTAAGACCTCTTCTTTTAATAAATTGTTTTTTCTCTAAAAGGAGCGTATTTTTTAAAAATCCCGAACCGTCTCTGCTAGCCTACCAGCTCCAAATTTGTCCCACCAACCTGCATCTCCCCGTTCTGCTTCATCCACCCGGGCGGTCCCCAAGCAGTACAGAACAGCTTCAGGTCGATGTCGTTGGCTTTGGAGAGCGCCAATGCTTGTTTTATATAGGGGAGCTGGATTGAATTTGGATTGAATTCAGGGGTCTTTTAGGGTATCCTACTATATATAAAAAAATAGTGTCTGTGTGTGTGTGTGTCTGTGTGTGCCACTTTGCATCCACTTCCGTCTGTCTGTCCGGAGGATATCTCAAGAAGGGACGGGTATTAGGCTACGTATGATACGTCATTAGGTGCGTAATGGTCTAGGGATGACTGCACACATATCAAATTTTAAAAAATTGGCCATTATCGCTATTAAATTTAGATTTTTGTAAAAACCTCTTTGTTAGGGATAATTAGCATAGAGCGGAAGTAGGCGGTCGTCTATATAAAGAGGCAGAAGGGGCTGTTTTTCATTTTTTTTTGTTTTCTGAATGGAGGACAATTATGCAAAGGGTAGAATATTATGGGGTCCGAGACGGGGCCAGGGTTGAAAAGTCGCGAAGCGGCTTTTCAACCCTGGTATTACTTTATATAAATAGTCCTCAATCGTCAGGTTGAAATTGACCATCTCAAAGTCGTCCTGAACGTCGTTGTAAGAGTAGGGATGAGTGGAAAAATCCGATGAAGCCACGACAACTCGAGTAAGGCGATAGCCGATACCTAGAAAAATTATAAGGAAATTGCTTGTGTAATTTTGTGATATTAGGACTGATTTAATGGTTAAAATGGAGCGTACGCCTTTAGAACTACTAAAAATAAAACTAGTAAAATTCTAATAAAACCCGAAAAAGCGGCTTCTATACCTTTATCGCCGTAATATTGATTCATCAACATATCCCCAGCATCCTCGCTCAATTTGTTACCGTTAATACCGACAGCATCGGTTATCGCTCCACCGAATCCAAGGATAGTCTGAAGTTGCTCTCTCCCTATCTCGGTCTACCAGCTTTCTTACCTGATGCTGCTTCGTCGTATCAATTTTAATCGTAGTGGAGGAGTCTAAAAAGCAGGTTATACAGCATAAGAAAATATGGATACTTCGACATTTAGAAAAATCTTGATCGATTTTGTCTAGTCGATATTCATCTCGGGAAGAGAGGTAGATGGTGAAGGAGTTGCTCTAAATTCAGGGGTTCTCGATTTAGGCCTTTCTCTCGCTCACTCTTTCGCCTCTCTCTCTTTCTCTCGCTCACTCCTTCTCCTCTCTCTCTTTCTCCCGCTCACTCTTTCTCCTCTCTTTCTTTCTCTCGCTCACTCCTTCTCCTCTCTCTTTTTCTCTCGCTCACTCTTTCTCCTCTCTTTCTTTCTCTCGCTCACTCCTTCTCCTCTCTCTTTCTCTCGCTCACTCCTTCTCCTCTCTCTCTTTCTCTCGCTCACTCTTTCTCCTCTCTCTCTCTTTCTCTCGCTCACTCCTTATCCTCTCTCTCTTTCTCTCGCTCACTCCTTCTCCTCTCTCTCTTTCTCCCGCTCACTCTTTCTCCTCTCTCTCTTTATCTCGCGCGCTCTCTCTGTCTCTCTATCGCTCTATCTCTCTTACCCTCTCTCTCTAGCTCTCTCTCTCTCTCTTACATCTTGCTCTCCAATCTGCTCGATATCGTCACAGTACGTTGAATTACATACACACCCAAAGGCTGTGCCACGAGCGGTAGGTGGGTAATCTCGACGGTTACATGGGTTTCCATTTCACTACCATTTAATCGGGATTATCCAGAAAACAGGCCCACTTACGTATGCCGTTAATAGGTGTATATGGTAGTACAACGATTTGTTTTGGCCATGCGGAAAAGTTCATAGACTCGCCTACACGTCCTGAAGTGGAACCTAGAACTGTATGTGACCAGAATAAATGTGGTTAAGATACACGTTTCAATATTTTTTCATATAGTGTATTTTGCATTGGAAAAGAGTGAATTAATAGAAAATTCGTTGGGTTTAGTTTTTCGGATCACTTATCGTCGGCAGTGCAACAAGGCGTGAGGCATTTTCGCTATTAAATTTAGGTTTTTGTAAATACTTCTTTGTTAGTAATAATTAGCATAGACCGGAAGTGGGCTCTCACCTATATAAAGAGGCAGCAGGAGTTGTTTTTCATTTTTTTTCGTCTTCTGGATGAAGGACAAGAATTGAAAGGCCAGAATAGCATTGGGGGGTCCTCATTAACTTGAGGGCAGTTACAAATCGAAAAAAATGCTGTTTTTAACTATGCCCAGAGTTGAAAAGCCGCTTCGCGTCTTTTCAACCCTGGCCCCGTCTAGCGTCATAATATGCTTCATTTTGCATAATTCTCGCGAATTCCGATCACAAAAAAAACGAAAATTTTAACGTCGAAAATAGCATAATTTGCAAAATCTGATGTGTGCGCAGTCATCTCAGCGCCATTACGCACCTAATGACTTATCATACGTTGCTTAAAACCCTTTCCCTCTCGAGATATCCCCCGGACACCCTGACGGAAATTGCATGCAAAGTGGCACACACACAAAAACACACAGACACTATTTTTTTATATGTAGTAAGATGCTATGTGTTTTCTATTCTATCTGTTGACCCGACGATGTTAATTACCAAACTGTATAAATTACAGTAGCAATAGAAGCGGGTGGCAATTGGATATTAGCAAATCGGGTATTTTTGCTTGATCTTGGATCGTACAGCTTGTCGTCCCATTTCCGCTTTCGTTATGAAGGACAATGACTCGTTGATCACCATCTGGAGCGATAAAATCTATTCCTAGAAATATTAAAGAGATAAGGACGGCATCTGTTGAACCCCCCCTGGGGAGGGGGGGTTCAACAGGTCCCAGCGCGACCGGCGGCGAGAGAGGGCGCCCAGAGGCGAGGCGCAGAGACATTTTCTTTCCCGCGCGTAACCGATTGACTTATGCCGCCCCTATCTCTTTAAAGGGCTGCCGACGGCATGTGTCGATCCCCCCTCATCAACAAATTGGCAAGTAGCCAACAGGGGAGAGAGGGCGCCCAGGGGAGAGGCGCAGAGACATTTTGTTTTCCGCGCGTAACCGATTGACTATGCCGTCGGTATCCCTTTAATATCTTTGATCTGCACCTTCTAACCTTCCACATCATCATCGACATCTCGACTCTCGTGTTGCTGTCGAGCACGAAATTACTGGAATAAAGTTGATGGTAAGGCCAGGCCAGCTCTCAACCAATGTATCTCCGCTCAACCAGGACAGGTTGTATCTCCCCCGAGTAATTTTTCAAACAAAACCTTTTCGATACGTTGATGAGCTCAGCCGATTGCTAGTTTCACAATGCTTGCAAGCAGCTTATTGGGGCGAGTTTTTAACAAAGACAGATTTTCAAACAGAAAGACACAATTTTGGTCCCGACTTTTAAGACCTGTTAAAAATCATAAAAATGTTTGCAAACAAGATTAGCTTCGGCACTGTGCACAGCATCAAAAGTACATGAAAATCGTATATTACGTCAAGCTCCTAGATCAAAAGGGCTTTCAAAACAATGCCCGAAAGGGAAAACCGCAAGGCCTTTCCGGGCAGCTTGATATTTCGGGCTTTATCGTGAAGATCCTTTTTCGGTATGTTTCATTGGGGCTTTTCGTCTAAAGTGCTCTCTCTCACTCTCTCTCTCTCTCTCTCTCTCTCTCTCTCTCTGTCTCACACTCTCTGTCTCTCTCTGTCTCTCTCTCTCTCTCACTCTCTCTCTCTCTCTGTCCCTCGTTTGTACGTGTACGTTCGCCATGCGTAACTGAATCGGTTAATTTTCATTTATCCTGTCGCCATCCATCGTGCAGCTAAGCGGCCGGCTTCTTGTTTCCGGGCTAAAATGTAGTTGAATGAGTTGGCAATTTTCCTCTATTTTGTGGCAAACGTCCCCATAGGAAAGGTAAGCCAAAAAAGCAAAGTTTGGGTCAAATTGTCTCGCGAACGGAAACGAATCGGACCATGGTTACCTTGCCAGAATGCTTAAATAGGCTGGGCATGAAGAAATAGCAAAGTTGTTTTTTAAGGTTTTTGACGATCAGTGGGTCGTTAAAGATGTTAAGCATTTTTCAAAAAGTAAAAAACTTTGAACACGAAAATTATGGAATTTTGAGGTGTTAAGGAGACTTCAAGGGTATCAAAATGAAGCGCTCGGAATGCGCTATCAAACGTTCGCAGACGAAACGTAAAGAACTTTGAACGTTTTAACTAGCCGTCAATGGGAGCATTCGGAAGATCCGGACTTTTCGAGAAAGGGCGATTCCGAGTTGACCATAGAAAGCATATTGCCGTGGTAATTTGTCCTTTTTGGTAGAGGTAATGCTGTTTGCCAAAGATAATCATGTTACGATTTTAACTATATCAACGTAAAACTTGTTGTTTCTGCCGACTTGGCAGAATGCCAAAAAATCTTCTAATTGTGGACTTTAAATTTGTTATGCCAAGAGTTATTATTTATCTATGTATTGGTAAATGCAAAGTATCCGAAAGATCGGATGGTAAGGACATTTTATCTGGAATTTTTTCTTAAAAAGTCCGGATTTTCCGAATGCTCCTATTGACGGATAGTTAAACCGATCAAAGTTCTTTACCACGCGTTTGATAGCGCATTCCGAGAGCTTCATGTTGATACTCTTAAAATCTCCCTAACTCCTCAAAAGTGCCATTATTTTCCTAAAGTTTGCTACTTTTTCAAAAATGTTCAAAAATTCTTAGGGGGGTCGTGAAGGATTTTGTTGTTATTTCTTGACGCCCAGTATATTTAAGCATCTGGCATGGTAACCATGGTCCGATTCGTTTCCGTTCAAGAGATATTTTCATCCAAACTCGGATCTTTTTTTTTGTCCACCCTGTATACGAACCTTTTTGCACATCGTGTTTAGCTCGTCGTCACATGACAAGGGATACCAACGATGGGGGCCAGACGTATACGGACTCACCGAATTCCACGCCTGAAATAGTACAGGGATTATATCATAAATTCGATTCTATCGTGGTAATCATTATTATTTTGACATGTATAGGGATTACACTATCTTGCTTCACAGCTTAAAAGGCCGTTTGCGAGCCGTCCGAACAAGGCTTGGCACAGTTCTTTTCGACCCGGTTTTTTCGACGCCATGTGAAAGAGCATGGACGAATTAGTAGGACTGCATAGCTTTGAAAGTTTAAAAACCTTGTTTTTGAGGTTTAAATGGCCGTTAAAGTTGCGTACCCCGAAAAACTATCTCAGAGCTCACTGGGCAGAACCGACTGAAACTTCGGGATAATACCTAAATTGTGAAGCACGAAAATGGCCGGAACATAGGAATATCGCGTAGTCGAAACAGTTTTTACAAAAATGATCAGAGCCCCAAATTAAGTATTATCCCGAGGTTTCAGCCATTCCTGCCCAGTGAGCTCCGAGATAGTTTTTCGGGGTACGCAAAGACTTTAACGGCCATTTAAACCTCAAAAACAAAGTTTTTAAACTTTCAAAACTATGCAGTCCTACTAATTCGACCATGGTCTTTCGGATGGCGTCGAAAAAAACCGGGTCGAAAAGAACTGTGCCAAGCCATAATGGGGGACTGTTCGAGTGGCCCGCGGCCGGTCTTTTAAAGCAAAACACGAAATTTTTGATCGAAATCCCTTTCCAGAAAAACGACGCGGGTTCGACCCCGCCCAAGGCTAATTCTTTGATCTTTGCTGTTTCCTACCGAAAAAATCTGAAATCACCAGGCATGGTAAAACGGGGCCGGCCGGACCGATTTGACCGGAACTACGAATCCATTCAAAAATTGATATGCTAACCGACCCCCAATTTTATATGAATTTTTGCAATTACCATACGTCGGCCCTGTCGGCCCGGCCGAAAACCCTCTTTTCGGCCCAAAAAAGCGGGAATCCTGGAAATCTCTGGAAAACTTTTCCAGTTGCCAATTGCCACTTGCCATCCCTGGAAAATTGCCATCCCTGGAAATCACTGCATTGCCATTTGGCAGGGGATGAGATCTTTAGCGTAATTTCCAGATTTTGCAAAAGTGCTCACTTCGATATAAAAAATAATTTTTTTTTATGAAAGCCCGCGTTTTAGGAATTTAGAAATTAGGAAACAATTTGGATGCGTCCGAAGTGACGATAGCCTATAAAAAGGGACAGAAAGGCTTGTCTTACATTTTCCGGGAACAAATATGCAAAGACAAGATTATCATGGGGCCCATGCGGAGCCAGGGAGGAAAAACCGCGTCGCGACTTTTCAACCCTGATAAGGAGTATAAATGCCCCACAACCGTTTTCGAAAGTTTTGATTATTGGGGATTCAGTGCACAATGATAAGATGATGGATGGCCTACCCCAAGACAATTTCGCGTCGTCCCTTGACTGTCCCTAGTCGTCCCTGGTCCATACGGCGACCAGAAGGCGTAGTCCCATTTCGAGCCGTCGATCCATTGGTAATTTCCATCGCTCTGGAGCAGGGTTGTTGATTATGGGTCCGTCCGCGTCCGTCCGGCCCGGACGGGGACCCGTACCGTTCATGCACTTACAAGGAGACGTTTTTAGGTGCAAATGAAGTTTTGGAACGAAACCTAGCTCATTCGAAAGCGCTTGAAAAACTGAGCAAGCTGCCGTTTCCCATTTTTGCGAAATCATAGCGCTTGATTTTTAATAATTAAATTCAAGAAGCAGCAGAAATTGACAGAATTTTCTTCGCGCGGGGCGGTTTTTGTTGATCCATTGTTTTGTTGCGTTGATGCATGCATTTTTGAGGCTAATAGAAACCTAAAAAACAGATATAACAAACTTAATTTAGTGCCTCCTCCCGCACGACCCCCCCAAAAAAAGTCCCCCTTTGCCCCTCCGAGACCCGCTTTTGCCCCCCTCCCTCCCCAAAAAGCCGGCTTTCACCCGCTCCCTCCCCCCCACCCAAATTAAAAGAGCAGAAATTAAATCCGGTTACCCACTTCGCGTTTGGCGCCAAGGAAAGTATGGTTGCTACCGGCTGCCGCGGCGATTGCTGAAAGTCGTTTAGCATGCGTCAATGAGCCACCGACCGAGAATATCTTCATGTTCAAGGTAGGTCAAAGCGGAAGCCGGCTTGGCTCCCCATTCAAAGCAGGTCTCTTGGCCGGCGCCACTTTTTGATTTTGGGGTTACCTAGAAGAAGCAATATAACGGCACGGAGAGAGAGAAGGAGAGAGAGAGAGAGAGAGAGAGAGAGAGAGAGAGAGAGAGAGAGAGAGTGAGAAAGTGAGTGAGAAAGTACGGGAGAGTGAGAGAGATTAAGAGAGCGACAGCCTACTGCAGAGAGAGAGAGAGAGAGAGAGAGCGAGTGAGAGAGAGCGAGCGTACTAGAGAGTGAGATAGTGAGAAAGTGAGTGAGAGAGAGGGACAGCGTACGAGAAGGTGAGAGAGGGCACGCTACCTTATAGCAACTGCCCGTCCACTTCGACCCTGTCCACCCCTCATCACAAAGCGGCTTCTCAAGCGCCACCGCAGCTTGACCCATCGGCCGCTTGCAGATCCCTTTGTTCAATTCAAAGCAAGTCTTCTGCTCGAATTTGCCGTTGCCCTAAAAACCCATGGGTTTTCTGATTGTAAGTTTATCTAGGCGGGACAATACTTGACTTATCAGATACTTACGTTTTTGAGGGTGCAAAAGTCGTTCTTGTGTGGGCTGAGAGATCCGGTCCAGTTACCAACTTTTTGGTTGACCGGTGAGCCGTCCATCCAATGGAGTCCTGTGACGTTGCGCGTCATCTAGGGGTTATGATTAGGGTTGTTTCTCGGAACAGGCCGAGATTCGGAACATTCGGAACAGCAACCGTCCCGACTGTTCCGAATGTCGGAACGGTCCGAGTTTCGGGTGTTCCGGCTGTTCCAAGATTCGGAACATTCCGAGATTCAAATGATGCGGTTGTTCCGAGTAGACTGAGGGAGGCCTAGGCTAAAGCCTAGGCTTGCCTAGGGTTCCTCAGGCTTTTCTAATTTGCATCGCCTAGGCTGAGCCTGGGCTATGCAAAGTACGCCTGACCTCTAATTAGCCAGGCTTTATCTGGAAATTTTATGTAAAGTCGTAGAATATTCGAAGTTTTGCCGGACAAATAAGAATTTTTTTTGAAACTTCCGGGGGGTCGAAAAGCTGGATGGGGTCCAAGAATATTCTACAAAGTTAGGGTACTGTTTTTGACAAACCTTACGGCACGATACGTTAAAAGCACGTGGATACGCAAAAGTCAAGAGTCGGTTCGAGCGGGCGGGGGATGCAATTGGCTCTCCTGACATCTCGCCTATAGCTTTCCTCACCTTCGGCATCCTTGTAATTTGTTATTGCGTCAAAGCTACCAAGGTTTTAGATGCAGTAACCAGATTAACATGTTTTTACGCATTGCATAAAAAGCCTGCGTAAATCCTTAGGCTTCCGCCAGGCGTCGGCAGGCGCGGAAATGCAATTCGGCCCAAGAAAGCCTGAAGAGGCCTGCCGCCCCCTCACTCTAGTTCCGAGATTCATATTGTTCCGACTGTTCCGAGATTCGGAACAGTCCGATTGAGCTGTTACGAGATTCAAATTTTTTCGCATGTAAATTTCCAAACACGACTGAATTTCGATTCGATTCGATCCCCAATTAGTTCTCATTTCCCTAATTTCCGGATTCGATATCTAACCATCGACGGAATTAGTTGTTCAGTTGCGCCCAAACTGCCGTGGGCCGGCCAAGTCGGAACATTTACATGCAATCTACACGATTTACTTTAAATCGAAATTTACATACGAAAAAATTTGAATCTCGGAACAACCGCAACATTTGAATCTCGGAATGTTCCGAATCTCGGAACAGCCGGAACACCCGAAACTCGGAACGTTCCGACCAGTCTTTGTTCCGAAAGTTCCGAATCTCGTTCTGTTCCGAGAACAACCATATTATGATGTAGCAATGATAGATTCAAATTTCATACTTACTAGGGAAGGGCAAATAAAAAAACAAACCAGAGATCCGTCGCTCAAGAGGCCAGTTACTTACAATTAGCCACTACACCTAGAGTTGGAAACCCCTCCCCCCCCGATACCGCCGGGGGTGCTTACAAATGCCCTCGCGGACCCCCAGAAAACCAGAAACCACCCGACACCACCGAAATTACTGGAGCGGGTTCATGATTTTAACTAGGTCTCATGTGAACTTAATTGCTTTAAAGGAGTTGGCTGCTTAATTTTTTTTCTGGTTGAAGGCTCGGTCTTTAATAAATTTGCGCTATACGTACCACCATGGCGCCAACCCAGGCATCATTGCCGGGAATCTTCTTCGAAATCATATCTGTAATTGCGAATTAACAGAATTACAATTAGCAAGGCTCGTGCAAAGGAGATATGGGAGAGTGAGGGAGAGAGAGAGGGCGCGAGATAGAAAGAGAATCCCTTACTTTCAATGAACTGATTCTCCTCGTCATTCAAAACCGACGTCAAATGGGCTCCCTGCTCCGCGCACTCCGCTTCGGCATGCCAGAACGCCTGTCCGTTTATCATCTGAAAAAAAAACAGAAATTAAACCCCAACCAAAAAAACCGACCTTATAGCAACTGTTCATCACTTTGTACGGCGTCCATCCTTCCTCGCAGTCCTAAAACTAGTCATTAACCCTACAAAAATAAACAACAGAACGCTAATTATTTTCAAATTGAATTTAAAGGGCTGCCGACGGCATGTGTCGATCCCCCCATCAACAAATTGGCAAGTAGCCAACAGGGCAGAGAGCGCGCCCTGGGGAGAGGCGCAGAGACATTTTCTTTCCAGCGCGTAACCGATTGACTATGCCGTCGGCATCCCTTTAAGAGCGCTAACTGATCACAAAAGCGGATACCGTATTGCTGAATCCGATTCTACTGTAAGAGACTCGCCTCCGCGTAGATACGCGCAAAAAATACCGCAAGTGTTAGGCCAACCAACATGGCAAAATACGAAATACATATCTCCGAGAAGCGGCGGCTTTTTATGTAGGCCTTGGAAAATTTGTTATGCATGCGTGGCCAAAGATCTTTTCCATCAAAGATCAAGGATTGCCGAATTTTTGAATAGTCAATAGAATTGCAAATAGAAAGACCTTTCGGGTGCCTGCCCGCTTTCCCAAGAATTTCCCAAGTTGTTCTACAGTAACGTCCAAAGGCCTCGCAGCTTTGAAAATATCGGTTTATGGTCGTTGAAAAGCACCTTTTCCAATTTCGAGGCGATTTTGCCGATGCTAGCTCCCTGAAATTTTTATGCTCGTTATCTGAAAAATCAAGATGGTGGGGTAATAGCTTGTTATCTTTTCATTTTCATCGTTGACATAAGGTACTGGGCTTTTGTGAAAATTATCCAATGGAAATATGTGTAAATTTATGTACAGGAGCGATTGAGGTAATATTATTCGACACCAAACACGAATTTGTTAAACTCGACATTATCTGAAAATTCCCAGTACGTAACGTACTCGGGCCGCGCAATCCTGATGGTCGGGCAGCGCGAAGAAAATCTGACAATCATCGCCCTGCCATCGTTCCGGCGGACTCGATAATAAGTGTTGTCCCTACTCGCCATGTGGAGTTTCGGATGTCGCGTAAAGAAGACCGGGTGGCTGGGGTTCAATTCCGTTTTGAAATTTGTAAGCTCTATAACGGGGCTAATCTGCCGTTCGCCAACAAGCCATTCTCGGATCAACACTTCAGCATGGGCCGCCAAAGATTCGCCGGAGTCCATGGGCGCTTCAAGGGTCATCTCAGGCACCTTCAGATGAATGTATGCCGATAGGGGGGCGCAGAGTGTGGCCCACACACTATCCGTCGATGCATTCAAAAAATCCAGCATTTCTCGGGATGGTAGAAATTGTCGAGGAGCATAGACATATCGATATTTCCCGAACAACGGCTTATGAAGTTTGATATACGGTAATATATCGTAAGATTCGGATCTGTTCAGATCCAGATACAGCTTTCGGCAACGAATATTGATTTCTTCATGAGGGAAGATGTCGGGGTTGAACGCGTCAACAGTTGAATTATGGAAAAGCAACTGCATGGCTTTGTAGTTGCTGGGCAGGAGGCGAGGACTAGGATATCGCCAGAGCGCGAAGTCTTCCTTTTTCGTGCAACGCATAATATCGCATTCCCACCGTTTGTTGGGGCATCTCTTAGCCAGCTGTAGCATCGATTTGCTTGAAATGGCTGTTTTGAAGAAGCTCTGCAAATCCATGTAGCGCAGGATTTCGAATTGATTTTCGATTGGCAGCGCGCCGAAGTCGAATGACATCTGAAAATGGCGGTAATGGTTTTTGACGTAAATAGAACAAAAACGGAGATATGGAAGTTCAGCGATAACGGTAGAGAAGGAGTTAGCGATAAAGAGGGAGAGAGAGAGACCGGGTGGGAAACATAGGATAAGGGGGGGGGGGGCACTCATTATTATAAAATTTGCAATTACTGTGGGATTTCGATAGAGCGTCGAAAAATATACTAAGAGCATTATATTCAGCGCGAAATAATGTTATGGAAATTTTTTATCGGATAAAGAAAAATTGATCAAAAACCAATGGTAGCACATAGGATAGCGGGGGAGTCAAATTTTCGATATTTTTAAAACGCCAATCGATAGAGCGTCGAAAAAATATACTAAGATATTTTTTACAACGCGAAAAAATTTATTATAAAAGTTTTACCTCCAAATTATCTTTGAAAAATATGGGCAGCACATAGGATAACCGGGGGGGGGGGGAACTGTTTGAACATTTTTGATAATTTGAAATTCCATTCGATCGAGGGCCAAAAATATACTAAGATCTATGGCAAATGGCAGTGGAAAGCGCAGCGCGCAGCGTCAAAAGTGGAACACAAGGAGGGGCGGAGGGGGGTGGCGTTAATAAAAACTAGGAAATGAATGTGGAACCGAAACTGAGAAGTGTCTGTCCAGATGAATCCGAATGCGTATCTTGTAGACCGTAGTGCGCATCTGCTGAATTGCATCTGCGTCAGGGTGACATCAATCGACGAACCGACTATGGCCAGGATTTCTTATCTTGCATCTGCACATCTGCGCAAACCAACAATACCAACAACAACAAAACCAATAACTGCGTGACAAATTAATAATGAATCTTTAACGTTGCCTGCTGGCGAAAATAGGGGGTTTCGTTGAGATTTCGCGCTTAGAATCCAACATCATATTCCCCTGTCCGAGAATCTACACCCTTCCTCGTTCGACGAATTTTATTTGGAATAGGTTTTTGCAAAAATAACAGTTTACTCGAAAGATTGTTGTTGAAAATTTGTTCTACTAAAGATTTATCTACACCAGCGCCGACCCCCCGCTCCGCGGGGGCTAGGCGCTGGCCTCCCGGGGGAAAAAGGCGAAACGGCATGGCTCCGGTGAAAATTTTCAGCCCTCAGCTACGGTATATTCGGGGGTTCGCGGCGTATTGAATGCCCGGTCGGTCGGTCGGGCGTTCGACCCTTAGAAATTTATTATAGTAGGTACAGTGCAATCTTTTATCAGGGATAGAGCACACGGCCGCTTTAGAATATTTGGACCAAAGCTTCCGTCTTTATTGCCTATCCAGTTTAAGAAAATTTAATTCTTGTGCGAAATTCCTGCAAAAATTACTGCAAGGAATTCCGATTCCCATCAGGTTCGAACGAAAGTTCTGCCGCCGAGATTTTGGGAGGCTGGCTTAATTCGTAGATAGCTTCATTTTGGACATGCGATATGCCATTTTGTAGCTCCGGCCTGAATCGTTTCGGGAAGAGGGTCCCAGTACGGATTGCAGCCGATGGATATTGATCTGTTTGAGGCATCTTGATTTGATTTTTCGGCATTTGGTAGTGCACCTTCTCGAAGCCGCTGTTTGTCGGGTTATTTTTGGAACTCATTCCGGTTGTTGCTTTCTTTCCCTCCGTCTTCCAATCTCTCTCTCTCTCTCGCTTTCTCTCTCTCTCTCGCTCTCTCTATCTCTCTGTCTCTCTCGGTCTCTCTCGCTCTCTCTATCTCTCTTTCTCTCTCTCTCTCTCTCTCTCTCTCTCTCTCTCTCTCTCTTTTCCCTATCCACAATATGCCATAAAACCTTTTTTTTGCAGATATGTCCTTTCTGGAGTTTCCGAGCGTGATCCACCACAGAATCCTCAAATATATCGGCCTTCGAGACCTCGAATCTCGTTTTCGCCTCGCGAGAACGTGTAAAAAAGCCTGGAAGATCGTCATCACTGGCCCTCAGCATCAATCATTCTGGAGAATCGATGTCTATCCAAGCACATACAAAGTCAGCGGGTTTACGGATTTCACGATTAACAGCATGGACACGATGAAACTTCTTTTTTTCAACGGGCGAACGATGGTTGATGGTACTTTGGAGGGGTATCTCAACTTCCCAGGTACGCGGGTTATACGCAAGAAATGTGAAGCTACAACTTGATGGCGCTTCGCGCGAACACGATATTGAATTGCTGAAGGAGGTCATGCCAGATCAGGGCTTTGAGCAAGTCACTGTCTTTCGCTGTTCGCCCACCTTAGAATTCTGCGAGTTTGCCGAAAAATGGGTGAACAAGCTTGAAATATTATGCCCTCCTGACCCGCACATCTGGCTGGGCTTTAAGAAGAAACGTTTTTCCATAACGCTGATGCATACCGACGGGTCAGTTGCCGACAGCTTTGCCGAGCAGGTCACTGCCCAATGGATGCGCGCTGAACGGGACATTGAAGAGTTGAGAATTGACATTTGGAAACCAATCTTAAATACCCGAAAGGCGATGTGCGAGAATATGTTCGAGATGATGGCAAGCTCCTTCGCGTCACTGCAGGTTACGTTTGGATTCACTTGCAGGTGATTGCGTCCTCCACCTGGACAGCTATTTCAATATTTTTCGGGTTTTTCGCCGCTATGATTTTTTAAATTTCGATACGATCGATGCGGTCGATCATACAATAAATCCATCATTTTTCTCTCAACTACTTTTTTGTAAGAATAAATTTTATTAATTGAGTAACTTTCAGATTCTGATAGATAAACGCATTGATGAACAATGTCATACGAATAAGGGTTGATAGGCATTATGCCCGGGGCTACAGGGGCCGCAGTACAAATCTTTGTTTTCACCGTCCAGCTACGGTTTATCCACGGGGTTTGTGTACCGGAAACCGTATTTCACAAGTTTCAAATGCGTTCAGGATTCCACATTAATTCCAGGAGAAAACCTTATTTTTCGAATAGAAAGTACGGTGTGCATCTTGGGCAGTGAGGTTGGGGCTTTTGTAGTTTGTAGTTGTACTCGATTCGTTGGTAAATTCGTGTAGCAGCATTTTCTGTAGTAGCTTGAAAAATCAGCACTAATTTTCCCGTTCCTTGCGGGTAAAAGCAGATGACGGTCCGTTGAGCAAAATCTAGGATTTTTATCGAGTAGATTTTTCTGTTTCTTACTTGCCATCTCATGTCATTCAATACCAAGAAATTGGGGTTTATTCAACACACATATTCGAATTGCATCACACACAAAAACGATTAACGAAACCGGGGAAGACTAACAAGGAGTCGTTTTTAGGTGATATTGGAGTTTTTGAGCGAGACCTAGCTAGTTCGATAGAGAAAAAAATTCTGAGCAAGATGTCGTTTTCCAAATCTGCTAACCGTGTATTGTATTCGATAAAAATTTATTTGAAAATCATTAATTTCGCCATCATTTCTCAGCTTTGGCTTTGGCTTGGCTGGGGGGGTTGCGCGTGAACATAGCCCCCTTCAGACCCTTGAACCACCATGATCGCGTGGCATATTGGTAGTGCATTTGCTTCACAAGTTTTATCTTTTTTTTGTCTTCGGGTTCGACTCCTGGCTAGTGAAACTCTTTTGCTTTTTGCTCTGTGATGCCAAATATGGCCTCAATAGCGTTAAAAACTAAAAAGCAAAACAGCTAATCAAAAAAAGTTCCGAACCCGCGAGCATAATTTTGCAAAAGTTTGGTAGGCGCCTACACTATCCACTAGGCCACCATCTCATGCGGATGCTGGTGGCATTGCGGTCAATGTCCCGGGCCTGATCCATCTGTGGCCGCGTGGCGCCACGGAATTTTTTCATTAAAATTAATTTTTATCGAATACAACACACGGTTAGCAGATTTGGAAAACGACATCTTGCTCAAAATTTTTTTTCTCTATCGAACTAGCTAGGTCTCGCTCAACAACTCCAATATCACCTAAAAACGACTCCTTGTAAGAGAGGGGTTTTCTGGCTGTAGTAGGCGTGGCGAGGGAGCGCGGATCGGCCGTCGAAGAGCGGGCAGGCTGGGGATTTCCTGAAAAGTGATATTTTCCAGAATTCAAGACAGAAAAACAATTATACAGTCAGTACAAAAAATAAAAAGATGGAATTTACCGTAAAAACTCGATAATCCGGGGATGATATAGGAGAAGTGCTACAGCCGGGCTTTGCGGTACGGCGTGGCCACCTGCTGGATGTCCATCGGCGCGTTCGGAGGGCTGCGCTGGAAAGACAAAGGATGAATTATGGTCTTAAAAATTACAAGAAGTGTACGTAGGTAAGACTGATTCTTAACGGAACCTGCCTAGGGTTTTGCTATGGATTTTTCGGTACTCAATTGTTAGCGAGGGGCGGACTTTTGGCCGGGGTAAACTAGTTTTTGTCTTTCGCCTATACATACCGATTGATAGCAAAAACTTCATTTTTAACACGTTTTTAGTAGTTTTTGTCTGTTTGAATGCTGTAAAAATAAATTAGACAATTCTTGCAAATTCGAAAATCTTGACCTTTTTGGTGATTTCCCATACATTTTTGACCAAAAAGCCGAAAATTTTTAAGACTGGTTATCAGCTTTTTATATCTAAGCTTTTTATTTTTATCTATTTTAATTGTTTTTAACTGTGTAAAATGCTATAAACACGCTTTAGGTTTTGTTTAAGGAATGTTCAATTGGTTTTCCCCGCTACCCCCCCGCTAGCAGTCCAGTGCCGGGTATTCATACCCATACCTTTCCCGGTCCTTAATTCTAGCGCGAGAGTCAAGCGTAACGTATTTGTTAATTTATTGAACTGTAAAGTCCCAACCGCTTGGCTGTCGTCGCCGGGGGCCAGATACTGGATGGTGTGGGTGCGGGCACGGCACATGAACCGGACAAAAGCTGCAAAAAATCCATGGCTTCTACTTGACTTCTTCAACTCTTTAACATCCAAAAACACAGAAAATTTCATCCCCCGTGGAAGCCCTTAAAATGCAAAATTCCAGATATTTTCAAACCCGAGAATTGGCGGAACGGCGGCGCGAGTCGCACCACGTCAATCTCCGGCGTGTTGCAGTACTAAAAATTTAATTAACTATTTACAAATTCTACAAAAGAGACAAAAAGCACAAACAAATTTCCAAACGAATTTTCCAGTATAGGATTACCGCATTGATGCGGACAAACTCGGCGCGGTGGGGCCCGAGGTAGTCGGGGGAGGCGGACGCCTGCTGCGGCACATCCAGGTTGTCGGCTTTCCTTTCTGAAAACGTTCACTCTTATTCTCTCTCTCTCTCTCTCTCTCTCTCTCTCTCTCTCTCTTCTCTCTCTCTAAAAGCTACCGAGAGACATCGGCTCCTCCTCTTCCTCCTCGAAATACCCGCTGACGGCCGTCTCGCATTCCAGCTGCTGCTGCAGTGGCGGAGCGTCGCCCATACTCGAAGGCGTCATGCACATCATTCTGAAAAGCAGAAATTTAGAATCTCGCGATTGGCATACTCACCCAGCATACGAATAGGCGCCCTCGTACATCATCTTGCAGGGGAGTTGTTTTGATGGAATGACGGCATTTCCAAGAGAATGTTTCAAAGCTATCGAATCTAATAGCTTTATGTTAATTAGATGTAAAGCGGTTTCCGGTCTAGCATAGCTCAATTTTCCGCTTTTTCAAGAGCATCGCATTGAAATCGTCGATCGTTGGAGTCTTCAAGATGTCTTTCTCTTGTTTTCCGTCTCACTCTCACTGACGCTCGCTTTATCTCTCTCTCTCTCTCTTTATCTCTTTCTCTCTCTCACTGGCTCGGGCTCTCTTCAATTTGACACGAAATTTTTTAGGAACTGAACCCCGCCGTGTTGATCCCTCGCCCCCTCATTAACGCTCGCTATCTCTCTCGCTCTCTAGCGCACGATCTCTCGGTCTCTCTCGCCCCCCCTCTCTCTCTCTCTTCTTTTTCTTGTTCTTCCTTTCGCTCGCTCTCTCTCACGTGTATCTCGTTTTTGCTAACTTCAAACAGGACCAATTTATTGTTGCTATAGAATGGATTTATTGCCGGAAAGGTTGTGGTGGTCGATTGGTTCCGCACCTCAGACAAAGTGGCGTCTAGTGACTAAAAATGGAAATTATGTGGGTACCATAATTCCCAAAAGTCCGGAGATCGCACTTACCGTCCGTGGCGACGGCCGTGTCCGTGTCCGTGTCCGTGAGATCCCGAGGAGGAGGACGAGGACGAGGAGGAGTCCTAAATATACAGAAATTTGATGTGTAGTTGAGGTTCCGCTGTCGAAACTCTAGGTGTCGCCATCCCTTCAAAACTTCAGGTCAAAGCCTTACTCCAGACGAAGAAGACGACGATCCCCACGAGCCGGAGGAGGACGAGCGGGACCACGAGGAAGAGTCGGAGTCGGAGCTGGAGTCAGAGCCGGAAGAGGAGGACGAGCTCCTGCAGTGACGTCCGCGGCATCCGTGACGGCGGTGATGGCGGCGGTGGTGGCGGCGCCAAGCGGGCCACAGCTGAAAGAAGTTGATTTTGGAGTACGAGGTTGAGCTTACGAATTCGTGCTCCGGGGGCAGCTGAAAGACGGGGACGTCGGCCTGAAAAATTCGGGGTTTGTTGTAGATTTGCCTATAGCCAAAATTAATTTTTGGTTTTTGAAGGGACTTGGAAATGTCAAAATGACCCCTGAGGCCGCTAGGTCTCGAATGGATCTATCTGACTACTTGCCCAAGACTTGAGCAGACTAGCTTTTGGTCTTAATACTAGCTTTAAAGGAACCTGGAAGCGCCAAAATCGACCCGATCTAGAACTAGATCTCGACTAAGTATCTAAATTAGTATATTTTTGCCGTCTATTTTAGAGACCCTAGACTTTGCAGTAATCGCATTCTTTCGTACTCTGGATCTAGGCAGCTACGCGCCCTTCCAATTGACAATTTCTAGTGTCTTAACGTCATCTTGAGGCGGAATTTGGAGCTGCTCGTAACTGTCCAGACCTAGTGGACCTTAGGGGTTGAGTTTAGCACCATTTAGCTGCGATAGTTAGCGAAGCTTAGTCGACTTACATAGCTGACTTGCGGGGGCTGGTAGGCGGGCTGGACGACTTGAGCGACCGGGGCGTCGTTTCCGTACTGGGCCACGACGGCGCACACCAACACGGCCAGGGTCACCAGGGCGAGCTTCATTTCCTGAAAAGCATTAGATTAAGCCGAAAAGAGAGAGCGAGTGAGAGGGAAAGCAGGAGAGAGAGGGAGAGAGAGCGAGAAAGCGGGAGGTAGAGAGAGAGCTAGAGTGACAGAGCGAATTTTCAAGCTCAGAATTCTGAAGCCAAAGTTCTTGCGAAGGCTTGAAGCCCCGAAAGCTGATGACAGATGGTATGTTGTGGTTCCATCGCCGTCCATGCCCCTTTTATATGCCGTTCCGTGGATGGCAGACAAAATGTGGGGGCGAGATTCGATTAGGCAGACAAAATACACAGAATATCCTGTGCCGCCTGCGTCTTGCACGATGCATCATCAGTTAGGAGGGATGGATGGATGAACGGATTCTGTCCTGCAAAGGATAGGAAGCAAAGATTATGGAGTTAGAGCTTCTTCGGATGGAGCTACCCCAAGACAAGCTCGTCTTTGACCGGGAAATCGAGTTTTAAGAGACTATGGCCGCGGAAAAGCGATGTCAAAAATCGACCACACCCGACGACTAGGTCTCGACAGTAACAGCTAGAGCTGCCAATTACAGGGCGCTTCGATTTCCTCACGCTCCTGCAAAACTAGCCCCGAGTCATTTGGCTTTGCCACTACGATGGACTTGTCAACACCCAGGCCACAGAAGTCGTCGATTTTGAGTGTTTTGATCAGAAATCTTAGGTCTAGTTTTAATAAATCCATATTTATAGATGCACATTGTTTATAAAATAGGGAAGTCATTGCCTTTGCCAAGCACATTAAGTCTTCGTAAATGCGGCTTGAAAAACTCAAGCGGGAATCTTTGAGAGTTCGCAGTTTAAATAAATTTTATTACGTTTTTGAGATTTCCATCATGTCTTTCCATGAGTTTTAAGGTCCCTGACCGCAGTCCAGGATAGTTTTACGCATTTATCCCACTGCGTACAAGCGTAGCACGGCATTTAAGCTGTTTAGAAACCTGCGCCCGCATACGAAATTGTCCGCAATTTCTGTCGGTCTGTATTTCGGGGTGACAGGGTGATCTCTGTTTTATATAATTCATGACATTTCTCAAAACCCAACTGCTCCTTCACGTCGGCATCAAGCATCCAAAGACGTTTCAAAATTTCCTCCTCGCCCACGGCTTCTTTTTTTCGTCAGCATTCGCGAATTTTTCCGAAATGTTTTGGCTGCCGGGATCCCCTATAAGGTGCTTGGAAGGCAGGGAAGGGCCATGGTCCGGCATATCCTTTAAATTGTCGAATTTTTGAGGAGGATTTGGATCTCCCAGCCTGGGTTTGAACATCAGCTCTCTCCCCTCTCTCTCCCTCTCTCACTCTCTCTCCTGAATCATCTTTCACTTTCAGATGCGCGGCCTCATATTGGTGGGGCTCCTGGCCGTGATCGGCCTCGAAGCCGGGCAGAGCTACGGGGTCCAGAACGACTACCAGCCCGGCCAAGATGTCCCAGCTCCCGTTCAGGCGGCTCCTTCTTATTACGTGAGTCGGTACACATAGGATAGCGGGGGAATAAAATAACGGGGGACACTCATTATTATGAAATTTGCTATTACTGAGGGATTTTGCGAGTGCCATTCGATAGAGCGTCGAAAAATATACTAAGAGAATTAATTTCAGCCCGAAATAATGTGATAGAAATTTTTTATTGAATAAACAAAAATTGAGGAAAATCTATGGGCAGCATATAGGATAACGGGGGGGAAAGTCAAATTTATCGAAATTTTCGACATTTTCGGTATTTTGAAAACGTCATTCGATAAAGCGTCGAAAACTGCCCTAGGAAAATTAATTTCAGCCCGAAATAATGTAAATGAAATTTTTTATCGAATAAACAAAAATTGATCAAAATCCATGGGCAGCACATAGGATAACGGGGGGGGAAAGCCAAATTTTTGCGATTTTCGATATTTTGAAAACGCGAATCGATAGAAAATCAAAAAATATACTAAGAGATTTTTTTACAACGCGAAAAAATGTATTATAAAAGTTTTATAGCCTAAAAACTATTTTTGAAAACTATGGGCAGCACATAGGATAACAGGGGGGGGAAAAATTTTTGGCGTTTTGAATATTTTCGAAATTTTGAAAATGCCATTCGATAGAGGACCGAAAAATATACTAAGAGTTTTTTTACAGCCCGAAAAAAGCTTATTTAAAAATACTTTTAGCATATAAAAAGTTTGAGTGCCCCCGTTATTTCCCCCGTTATCCTATGTGTACCCGTGAGTCTGCAGCAGCTACCATTTTACGGGACCGGGAAGAAGAAATGTACCCTCATGTATTGTTGGGATTTGGATGTAATTCCTTCCACACCCAGCTAGAAATGCATCTCTTTTATCGATATTTTCAGTCTAATTGAAAAGGAATATTGGTGATTGGACTCGGGCTCGGGCTTGGTCCAAAAGCGCAAACTTCGATCCCTCACAAGCACTAGGTCTAGCTAGCGACCGGAGACTCAGGAGATCCGTAGAAACAGACTAATTTTTACTTGAAAGCCGGTCCAAGGGCTATTCTAAAAATCGAATTTTACAGCGATTTGGAGCAGCGCGTAGTTGTCGAGACCTAGCCGGTCCAAGGGGTGGATTCTGGCGCCTATTAGCCCCGTCAAGAGTGCGTTATGTAGATTTTTTCAGCCTCAACAAGTCGGCTGGCAACCCATCGGCAACATCGGGCACTACCCCAGCTGGGTACGGTTTTGAAAGGAACTTTCTATTTTTCCTTTTTTTGAAAGTTATAGAGCACCTAATTTAATAACACCAATTTGGATTAAATGGCCCTAAAAGCATTTTTTTTTAATTTCAACAGCGCTTAAAATCGTATCGAACCATCCCGATTTTCAGCTGCACTACCGCGGGTGGAACCGTGACGGCTACCGCTGGCCTCACCGTCATCACAAGAGACATCACCGTCATCATCACAAGAAACACCACAAGAAGCACCACAAGCACCACCATGGAAAGCACCATAAGAAGGACCGGAAGAACAAGGACCACAAGAAACCCAACTGGGGACGCATTCCCGGACGTGGCAATGGACGAGGCGGCAAGCCGTAAGTTTTAAGAACTTTTTGAGTTCTTTTGCATCATCGGGGGGGGGGGGGCGTTTATTGGGGAGAAACCAACATTTTTCTAGGGATCTAACATTTAATATAACTTTATTTGGCAAAAACACGATGAAAATAATTCCTTTAACGTACTAGGTACACTTACACCCCTCCCCCCCCCGGTAATGCGAAAGAACCGCTTTTTAGAGCTAATTTTTTTTTCAACAGCATTACATTTACATTTCAACAGCATTCAATTTACATTAAGATCTAGTAGTCATAAATTTACAAAAATGGCTTTTATTTATTAAAATATAGCAACGAAGTCGAATAAAACATCTATAGACTTCATTAACCAATTATAATATCTGTTTCAGGCACGGAGGCAAACCCCACGGAGGCGGACCCCACGGAGGCCCTGGCCCCAAGAAGGTCGCCGAGCCGGCTGCTGCTTCATAAAGCCCTCATTGCTTGAACGTTTTTTTTTGAGAATTTTGTATTAATAAACGACATTCCGTTCGCATTTCATCAAAGTTCCATTTTACCGGACTAGTATAATTAGGTCGTGTAATCGTGTTTGTCAGCTGCTGCCCGCTAGGCTGTACACCTGCTCCAATTATTAGCATTAAGAATTCGAGAATTCTGTGGGTGGACATTTGAATTAGATGCGGAAACCGTAAAGACGGCCTAATTTCAGTATTCCAAAGTTGATTTACGACACTATATTGCGCTTTTTCACCGAAATGGATACGGTAGCTCTAGAATTAACTGGATTAACTTGACTGTCCTTCCGGAATTGTGCTTTCAAGGAATGGGAAGGCGGTAAATCGAGTCCATCGCCCCACGAGGTTCCGCGATAAAAAAAGGCTTACTAAAAAGTGCTAAAACCAGTAAGAAACAAGTATGCACAAAAACGATTGACATACTGAGATGCTACGAAAGTACCACTCGTCTTTTGGTGCGTCGCGTAGCTGTCGACCTAGTGGACGGAGGGGTCAATTTATTTTTGCACTGGTTCCTTTAATGTCGAATTTCCGCGATGAAATCAGCTGACAATGCCAAGGCACGCATCGCCTGGATGGCGCAAGCGCTACATTTTTCGGTTTTTGCGTGCGGGGTTCGTAGGGAACTCACCAAACCAATTGTGAAGGTTCATTTCGCCAATTTTTCATTTCCGCGACTTTCTTTGTTAAGAGTTATATCACCTGGGAAGTTCAAGGGACGCCCCTACGACGCTTATTTTATCTAATTTTTTCTATATATGCTTCATACATTTTAAATGTAAATCGCGTAGAGATTTTCTGAGAAGTGTATGATCAACAGCCAATTGTTTTTTGTGGCACGGGGGCTGGCTGGCCGTCTTCCGTTCCCTCGATACCCCTATCTCGAAGTTATCCAGCAGTTGGGTAATAATTGTTGGATGACGGTCGCGTAATTGACCATCAACCCATCTCCATCCACAAATATAGCGATAATAAAGCGAAGGCCATATTTTGGAGGGGTGGTTGAGGGAGGGAGGGGGCCATATATGGGTGTCAATGGGTGACGGGCTCAAGGCCTTTGAGGGTTATATCACACTAAAAAGTTGCCGAGGATGGGGTTGAGTGTACTCTTAATATCGAAGCACATATTTGATACCTTAAATGTTCTTAGATTTTGAGATTAAAGGGACCTGGAAGGGTCAGAACTGCCCATTTCTACCCATTAGGTCTGGAGAGAAGAGACCTAGGGGCATCCGCCAAATCAACTAGCATTTTGGACATCGTGTATCAGTCGAGACCGAGGCGAATGGGGACTAGATTCTGGTGTTATTTCGTTGAGCTAAATCCATTCTCAAGTAGTTTTATGGAACTTTAGGGCGCTAGGGCACTCGAGAATCCTATCGATAATGTTTGTAGGTGTTATTTGGCGTAGCGCCTATTTGTCGAGACCTAGCCGAACTAAAAGGATATTTTATACTTTTCCCGCCCTTACATGCCCCCATAAGACCATAGAATTTTAAACGAGCCGAAATGGGGAGAACGAATTCTTTTTTAACGTCATTTGGCGTAGCGCGGAATTGTCTATGCCCAGTCGACAAAGGGGAGGATCCTCACCCTTCATAGTCGCTCTAAAATACTCGATTTTAGTGGATAATCTGAGGTTGACCCCTTGTCTCCATTTTTCTCGCAACGCCTAAATCTCCCCGAACAATGCTTTATGCTCGCGATTACCGCCCTTTTAATGGGAGTTCGATTCTCCGCACCAGCAACCTCACGATTAGCCCATTGATTTTTGCGATCGCCAACGCACTTTTCTATGTTGCAATTTTTCTACCCTTTTCCAAATTGTGGTTTATATCACCGTCTGAGGCCAAAATATCATCATAGTGTTCGGTAGGGTGGCCATACGGATGATTTTTCATCGCTGGGGCTAAACCCCACACCGAGAGATGGAGGCACCCGATAAAGAGCCGCAGAGGGCGGAGGGAGACATAACATTCTGCCCCGTCCCTCAATGTGCTATTTGTGGCATGTAGCAAAATTTTTCAAAAATAGAATAGTTTTTGTAGCTTGTATTACGTCAATTGTGGAATTAAATGCACTACCTGGTGAACCTGGAAAGTCTTGAAGCATCATTGGCAATTTTTTCTTAATTTTGGACGCAGCCTTGAACGTTAATTTTCCAGAAAGCGCAAAGTCAAGTTTTCTTTAAATTTAAATTTAATATTTTTCGACGTTCCCAAATATATTATCTTTAGTGTTTTCAATTGAGTTCCATAAGGTTACTATATTTAATATTCCTATATAAATTTTATTTACTTATTGACACTTTTCCCTTGCCGTTCTCCCAGATAAATCACCTTGTTTTCCCGGGTGGTCCAGGAAATGGGGCTCTTTGTGGCTTTTGCCTTGTCTTTGGAATGGCCCATCATCCATATCCATAGCTTATCCTCTTCTCTCTCTCTCCTCTCTCTCTCTCTCTCTCTCTCTCTCTCTCTCTCTCTCTCGTTCTCTTGGTGTAAAGCACATGCAACACGACACGACCACACAACTGCCTCCTGTATGTCTCATCCTTCTCCTCTTCTTTCCACCCATCCGTCTGCAATTAGCCCATATGTTGTTCGACGATCTGCATTTTGCACTGGGCCGGCTTGATGGATCCAAATTTTGGGTTTAAAGGGAACGTGTCGCCAAGAATTTTTAGATCGGGGCGCCAAAAAAATGCTTTTTCCCTACCTAGGTATTTTTGTAGAATCGGCAAACTAGCAGAAATCCCTTGAGGAAATCAGGATTGACTCTTTGCTTTGAAAGTTGGCTGGTTCGGGCAATATAACAGAGCTTGGGGAATCCGCCTTTGGTAACGATGAAAAAAGTTTATTTTATGATAGCTTCTGTCATGAAAAATGCAAGTAGCAAACTTGCAGAGATTTTTGAGGATCTCGCTCCAGAACAGAATTGACAGATTCAAAGTCATCTAGACAATATAGCAGCGATAGACGTTTGCAGATTGCTGATTTTTAGCCCATACGAAGGCCCCGGCAACCTAGCAGAGATCGTTTGGGAATTTTTCTCAGGTTGTTAAGTTTTTAGTGCTTCTAGGCCTAGGGCAAGCTAGCCGAGATCATTGGGGAATTGGAAGTTATTTGAAGACTTTAATTCTTGCTTTTTTCTGATACTGGGGCAAGCTAGCAGAGAGATTTCAAACCGGCTGACTCGGATTTTCAGGCTTTTTGAGTGTTTTTAAGGTCCAAGAAAACCTAGCAGAGTTTATTGCGGATTTCTGACCACAAAGGTATACACCTCCTCCGCCCCCCCTTGCCGGTGATTGTCGTCGATTTGTATTGGAGGTCATGTCCCCCTCCACTTCATCCCCAGGGCCATCCATCATAGTTCGTGGGCCTTTTGGGGGCATCAGCTGTGAGCCATGAGCATGAAGGGAGAGAGAGCGAGCGAGAGAGAGAGGGAGAGAGGGAGAAAGCTATGAGTATGAGGAGCCTCCCCTAAAACCGACAAATGTTATGGCTTCTACCCTTTCGCCCTTTCTTTTCCTGCTTTTCCCTAGGGCCCCTGCCCCCTTCATCCATATCACTAACACGCTCGCCAATGTTTACGGCCCCCACAGCGTTCATCGGATTTGTGGGCTGAGAATTTGAGGGTTTTGGGGCTTTAAAGGGACTTGGAAGGGCGAAAATCGACGCTTTGTAATGACTAGGTCTGGACAGGTACAAGCTACATAAAATTACACATTAAAATTTGACATTTTTAGAGTTGGTCGACACATTCTATTGAGTAGGTCTCGACAACTACGCACTGCGCCAAATCAAGCGTAAAGGTTTAGTCACCAAGAAACCCGCGATTTGCGCGTCTGTTCGCTTGCTGTCTAGATTGTCTAGACCTAGCCGAGGTTGGGGTAGATTTTTGCGATTTAGCACTCCTTTAGAATCGACTAATACGTGTCGGATGAATATTTCTTGCCATTTTTCCATAGCTTAACCGATTAGGCGGTCAAATACTTGTTCAACGAATAGAATATGAAGTGTTATTTGTTGAGATAGCTCTCCTTTATTCCGATGAAAACACTGGCTTTTTTAAAAATTTTTGTCATTCAAAGTTTTCAATGTCAAGTTTTCGGTTTCAAATTCAGTCCAAAAACCATCCAAACTTTTTTACTCATGCTCTTTCCTATGTTTTCCAAACGCATTGACACCGCCGACCGACAGTCTATGCATAGAAATTAGCTCCCCCGCGTAGTGCGGCCCCCACTTTTTCCGGCGGTGACTCCCGAGTAAGGCGGTGTGTAGTTTTCACGGCAAAAAGCGGGTGTCACTTTTTCGGGGGTCCAACCCAGCAGTCATCAGTGCCCCACAGCAGAATCAAATTTAGAGGAGGGGGGAGAGGGGGGGACCACCGGCTAACGCAGCTTTTAGATTTCTTGGCAGGGACGTGATTTTTCGACCCAGTTCTAACCAAATTTATGAGTTGCGTAAAATCGTAAGAATCGTACGGCATAGACTACCAAGCTCGATTGTGGCGTTTCTAAAGAGATGGCGACAGTAGAACGTAGAACGAACGTCGAAAGTACTCTCTCTCTCCCCCCTCTCTCTCTCGCTCTCTCTGTCACTCGCTCTCTCTCACTCACCATCTCTCCTTCTCCTCTTAGCTCCAAAAGACGCCAAATAACACGTTTTTAACATCGCGCGTAGTGGATCTGTTCAGATCTAGTGCGTAGAAGGCGCACTTGCGGGCTCCTTATTCCTAAATTTTGCCCAGCCGAGTACGACAAAATTCCAAATCTTTTAGGCCATCGTTTCAAGGGGCACAAAAGGTATATATCTATAGATTATTGTGGCCTTTAAAAGCTTGGCAAGGGTCAGCCTTACAGGCATTCCCAGTCCCTTTAGAAGCAAATTAGTTAAGTCAACAATTATCGCATCCAGATATGGTGTGCCGAATTCTTTGGTCTGTCGATCCATT